ACACACACACACACACACACACACACACACACACACACACACACACACACACACACACACACACACGCACACACACAGCTCATTCAACACTCTAGACTACATCTAAAGAATTCTGCTGCTTGTTTATGTGTGTGTGTGTGTGTGTGTGTGTGTGTGTGTGTGTGTGTGTGTGTGTGTGTGTGTGTGTGTGTGTGTGTGTGTGTGTGTGTGTGTGTGTGTGTGATTAGAGAAGCAGCGGATGAACACTCATATCTGTCATATCTGCTTTCCTCTAGTTGCGGGAATGATGGACTGTCGCCATGGTAACGAGGCAGAAGATTCCTGGACGGACAGCAGGAGAGAATGCTGGTCTGGGTTTATTCAAATATGACAACATGCTGATTTATTTGGACTATTTCTTTATTTATTTCTCTTTTTTGTTCAGTGCCTCTCAGTGTTATTTTCATTGTGCTGAAACACTGTTGTAGAGTTCATTTATATTTTATCACTAATATAAATATTGAACAATACAGACAGACAGACAGAAAGACGGATGGATGGATGGACGATAGATAGATAGATAGATAGATAGATAGATAGATAGATAGATAGATAGATAGATAGATAGATAGATAGATAGATAGATAGATAGATAGATAGATAGATAGATAGATAGATAGATAGATAGATAGATAGATAGAACTTGCAGGCTAAATGCTGAAGAACCATGAAGCGTTGCCGCCATCTTGTGGATATGAGACATAGTACAAGAAGTCTACAAAATTTTCTTTTCATATAAAAACAATGCCATAAAAATGCAAGATAAAGAAAGTGGTATATTGTATATCAATCTATTATTTAATAACTGATAAATTGTCTGTAAATCCGCTGTAAATTAAATCCATGTTCGTTTTGAGCAGCAGATGGCGCGAGTGTCTGCGTTAAACACAGCAAGGCCGCTACAAATACTCCCACGCGTTTCTTAACTTATTAAAAAATAAAATAGGATTATTTCATTAACAAAACACGCAAGTAATAACGCAATGAATGTAGTATAATAGTGAGTTCTTACGTTTTAGCAGATAACACGTGTATATGCTGATTTTCAGACAGGCGCGCTCGGGTCAGACTCAATGGGTCTTATGTAAGAAGCGCGCGGCGGATCGTCATTCGGCGGCGGCGCGAGATGAAGTTGCAATAATGCGCGGAGAGTTTTTAATCTTATTTATCATGTCACTGAATGTCACGTCGTGAGTTTATGTGAAGTTTAACTTTCGCCTTTATCATAACTATCGACTCAGGAAGCGGAAGAGCGCTGGATATTTATCCGTGAACGCGTATTGATCATCATAATGCCGCCCATAGAGAATGACGCGGGTCGAGAGCAGATCCGATCGAAAATCAAAGAACTGATCGATTCCAGTGCAGTTGTGGTGTTTAGCAAAAGCTTCTGTCCGTTTTGTGTCAAGGTGAGTACGCACACACAAGGAAACACACACACTTCACAACAAACTTCGACAGTTCTGCTATTGAAGAAGCCTTGGAGTAGGAGAGAAAGATGTCTCATTAACCAGGGTTTCTGCAGGGTGTTAAAATGTCTTAAATCTTAAAATCCAAATTTTAGGCCTTAAAAAGTCTTAATTTACTGAAATATTGTGTTTTAGGTCTTAAATCTTTTTAATATTAATTTCCCTGTTATAAATTGCTAACGTTACCCAGTCTGGGCAAAACCCATACAGTCATCAACAATCCATCTAAAACTTTTAACTTTTTATTTAAAAATAATTTCTAACTCTATTTATCATAATAGTTTAATTGTTTTCCTTAAAATAGCGCTTCTTTAAAAGTTCTCCATGTAGATTTAGTTTATTATTGTTTTTTTTTTTAAGTGTGTGGTTACATGTTAGAGCCTGCTTGTTTTTATACAATATTTAAAATATTAATAATAGAAATAAAATCTAAAATATTTTTTATTAATGTATAATTATATTTATAAATGTATTGAATTTATAGTACAAATTTTTGATAGGTCAAATACAAATCTTTTCCATCTGGGCCATTTAAAAAATTCTTGAGTCTAAAATTTCAGTCCTAATGGTCTTAAAAATGTCTTTTAAAAATCTTAAATCTAACTCGCTTGTGCATGTTTTATTTGTGTTTTGGGTTGGTTACTTATTCATTAACGTATTCGTTTCATTCTGCTGTGTTTTGTCTGACTTTAAAACACTTTTAAGGTCGTCTTGTAAAACACAGTATTATTTAGTGGATAAATCAGTTGTAAAATGTCTCTAACATTGTATGTTTATGCTTTATTCTTAGCAATCATCAATAATGTTTGGTAAATTAATTCTTTGTACAATTTTCTTTGTATCTTTTATTTGTTTTAAGTGAATTAGTTATAAAAGCCAGTAGTTTATAAATGTTATATGTAACCAGTATATTATGTAAAGTGTAAATTGTGAAGTATTTGTAATGTCAAGCTTTTCTTAAGAATAATGGTGATAACAGTACATTTATGCAATGGGCATATGCGTGTTTGACTTCTGAAGAGCTCTAACCACAAAATCAAGTAAATATTCTTCAAGATTTACTGGCCAGTAATGGCACTGGTTAATATTAAAAGATGGCAAAAGTAATGTCAAGTCACGTTTGTTTATGTGACACCTTATACAATGTATATTGTGTAAAAATAGCTTTAAATTTTTAAGTTTATAAAATAGTTCTTCCTGTCTCCTCAATCTTAGAGCATTTTTAAAGAATGTATGTGAAAAAAAAAACAACTTTGATTTTTATTTTATTTTTTTTATTCATCAGAGATAATGAAAGAACACACATTCTTTACTTTCTTTACAGTTTAAAATGACTGGTAAAAGTGCACTGATTATACTTTTTTTTTCAAGTAAAAGTAAAGAAGTACAGCCTTAAAAATGTACTTAAGTAAAAAGTACCCATTAATACTACATGTTTTAGTTTCACTAGGTAGGTAATATCTGGTTTCCCCCATATATATTTAACCTGGTCCAAACTCGCAGCTTTCATCATGTAGTTTTGTGGCTGTTAGATCAAAAACAACAGCTGCTTTTCATGTTAATACACTCTAAAAAAATTATGTATGCCTGTATATCTTTAAAAGAAGAAAAACATAAAAGGGTAAACTTGCACAGTAATTGAGTACTATCTCTTTAAATTAGTGTTAATGTGCCAGTTAATAAAGCAGCCGGATATTAACATTTACTATTAAGTATACAATACTGCCTGCTATGATAAAAGTGTTTCAATTATACTGATATGATCATGTTGTCATCCATCTGTAGACTGAAGCAGGGAAGTGCTGTGTGAGGTTTATAATCAGATGCTCTTTGGGTACCAAATTGCTTTTGGAAATGCCCTTCATAAGAGCAAAGTTCAGAAAGCCGACTGAGCTGCTGTGCTTTGTAGATCATGTCTGATGTGTGATCTGACCCTTTAAGTATAGAATAAACTAAACCAGCAGGTTGTGAATGATTAGAGGATGGAGTAATTATAGGCGAGGACTGTTACCACACCTTCTGTTTTTTTTGTTTGTTTTTTTCATAATATTTTTACTTTTGTTACTTTTTATTTTGAACAATTGGTTTCTGTTGCTCTTTCTGTTGTAGTTTATTTAATTTTGCTGCATCTTGCTTTAAATTATTAATGTATTTTAATCAGAAAGCTATAAGTTTATTATTATTACCATTCTATTTATTTGAAACTCTTAGTCCCTAACTAAAAAACAATCACAAAATGCAAAATGCAAAAAAAAAAAAAAAAAAGACATAATATTGTAAATGTTAACACCATTTTTTTTTCAAGACATCAAACATTTATTGCAATACCAGGAGTGGTACTTTTAAATTTGTATTTCTTGGGAAATTCAGTCGATGCAAATTATACATAAATGTCCTTAACACAGCATGAAGTAATCTTTGTTATTATTACTATATGTAAAGTGCAACTAAATGTTTTCATGTTAAAAAATGTATGTCTGAACTGTTTTTATGTGTTTTTTTTAGGTGAAGGATCTCTTTAAAGAGCTGAATGTCAAGTATAACACCATAGAGCTGGATCTGATGGGTAAGAGCACATATCAGATATAGCCAAGCTCTTTTACAATTTTGTTGGAAGTGAAATGTAATGCATGGAGGAAGTGTCAGCTATTGTTTAAATTCTTCAACCTGTGGAAATAATGGGATATTATTTTAATATGAATGCCTGTTTGTATTTGCATCTAAATATCAATCCAACATGTCAGTGTGTGTCTGTTCCTGGATCAACATTAGTGAATTTATATATTGATGGTCCAGGATCAACATTAGTGAATTTATATATTGATGGTCCAGGATCAACATTAGTGAATTTATATATTGATGGTCCAGGATCAACATTAGTGAATTTATATATTGATGGTCCAGGATCAACATTAGTGAATTTATATATTGATGGTCCAGGATCAACATTAGTGAATTTATATATTGATGGTCCAGGATCAACATTAGTGAATTTAAATATTGATGGTCCAGGATCAACATTAGTGAATTTATATATTGATGGTCCAGGATCAACTTTAGTGATGGTCCAGGATCAACATTAGTGATGGTCCAGGATCAACATTAGTGAATTTATATATTGATGGTCCAGGATCAACATTAGTAAATTTATATATTGATGGTCCAGGATCAACATTAGTGAAATTATATAGTGATGGTCCAGGATCAACATTAGTGAATTTAAATATTGATGGTCCAGGATCAACATTAGTGAATTTATATATTGATGGTCCAGGATCAACATTAGTGAATTTAAATATTGATGGTCCAGGATCAACATTAGTGAATTTATATATTGATGGTCCAGGATCAACATTAGTTAATTTATATATTGATGGTCCAGGATCAACATTAGTGAATTTATATATTTGATGGTCCAGGATCAACATTAGTGAATTTATATATTTGATGGTCCAGGATCAACATTAGTGAATTTATATATTGATGGTCCAGGATCAACATTAGTGAATTTAAATATTGATGGTCCAGGATCAACATTAGTGAATTTATATATTGATGGTCCAGGATCAACATTAGTGATGGTCCAGGATCAACATTAGTGAAATTATATATTGATGGTCCAGGATCAACATTAGTGAATTTATATATTGATGGTCCAGGATCAACATTAGTGAATTTATATATTGATGGTCCAGGATCAACATTAGTGAATTTATATATTTGATGGTCCAGGATCAACATTAGTGAATTTATATATTGATGGTCCAGGATCAACATTAGTGAATTTATATATTGATGGTCCAGGATCAACATTAGTGAATTTATATATTGATGGTCCAGGATCAACATTAGTGAATTTATATATTTGATGGTCCAGGATCAACATTAGTGAATTTATATATTGATGGTCCATGATCAACATTAGTGAATTTATATATTGATGGTCCAGGATCAACATTAGTGATGGTCCAGGATCAACATTAGTGAAATTATATAGTGATGGTCCAGGATCAACATTAGTGAATTTATATATTGATGGTCCAGGATCAACATTAGTGAATTTATATATTGATGGTCCAGGATCAACATTAGTGAATTTATATATTGATGGTCCAGGATCAACATTAGTGAATTTATATATTGATGGTCCAGGATCAACATTAGTGAATTTATATATTGATGGTCCAGGATCAACATTAGTGAATTTATATATTGATGGTCCAAGATCAACATTAGTGAATTTATATATTGATAGTCCAGGATCAACATTAGTGATGGTCCAGGATCAACAGTAGTGAATTTATATATTGATGGTCCAGGATCAACATTAGTGAATTTATATAATGATGGTCCAGGATCAACATTAGTGAATTTATATATTGATGGTCCAGGATCAACATTAGTGAATTTATATATTGATGGTCCAGGATCTACATTAGTGAATGTATATATTGATGGTCCAGGAACAACATTAGTGAATTTATATATTGATAGTCCAGGATCAACATTAGTGATGGTCCAGGATCAACAGTAGTGAATTTATATATTGATGGTCCAGGATCAACATTAGTGATGGTCCAGGATCAACATTAGTGAAATTATATAGTGATGGTCCAGGATCAACATTAGTAAATTTATATATTGATGGTCCAGGATCAACATTAGTAAATTTATATATTGATGGTCCAGGATCAACATTAGTGAATTTATATATTGATGGTCCAGGATCAACATTAGTAAATTTATATATTGATGGTCCAGGATCAACATTAGTTAATTTATATATTGATGGTCCAGGATCTACATTAGTGAATGTATATATTGATGGTCCAGGATCAACATTAGTGAATTTATATATTGATAGTCCAGGATCAACATTAGTGATGGTCCAGGATCAACAGTAGTGAATTTATATATTGATGGTCCAGGATCAACATTAGTGATGGTCCAGGATCAACATTAGTGAAATTATATATTGATGGTCCAGGATCAACATTAGTGATGGTCCAGGATCAACATTAGTGAATTTATATATTGATGGTCCAGGATCAACATTAGTGAATTTATATATTGATGGTCCAGGATCAACATTAGTGATGGTCCAGGATCAACATTAGTGAAATTATATATTGATGGTCCAGGATCAACATTAGTGATGGTCCAGGATCAACATTAGTGAATTTATATATTGATGGTCCAGGATCTACATTAGTGAATGTATATATTGATGGTCCAGGAACAACATTAGTGAATTTATATATTGATAGTCCAGGATCAACATTAGTGATGGTCCAGGATCAACAGTAGTGAATTTATATATTGATGGTCCAGGATCAACATTAGTGAATTTATATATTGATGGTCCAGGATCAACATTAGTGATGGTCCAGGATCAACATTAGTGAAATTATATATTGATGGTCCAGGATCAACATTAGTAAATTTATATATTGATGGTCCAGGATCAACATTAGTAAATTTATATATTGATGGTCCAGGATCAACATTAGTGAATTTATATATTGATGGTCCAGGATCAACATTAGTAAATTTATATATTGATGGTCCAGGATCAACATTAGTGAATTTATATATTGATGGTCCCAGGATCACATTAGTGAATTATATATTGATGGTCAAGGGTCAACATTAGTGAATTAAGTTTTTTTTAAATGTATATATTAAACTCATTGTCACCCCAGTCCCAGTTAAAAAAAAAAATGTAGTTTTCGCCCAACATTTTGAGTTTAGATTAGAGTTTGATATGCATAATACGATACTTATGTGGACAAAATGGTTTGTCCCCTTTCATTGAAGAAAGGAAAAACTACAGTGGTCCATATAATAACTTAAAGCTAAAAAAAATTGATTAATCAAAAATGACTGGAAACAATTCATGAAATTTAGATATGCTTTCGAATGGTTGTTGAACAGAAGCATTAAAAAAAAACAAACTAATGAAACTGGCCTGGCCAAAGGGCACCTTGGACCGTTTTGTCCACATCTGTATGTGGTTTGTAAAGATAAGTTTCAAACAGATTTAGACAAAAGTTGTTGTTTTTAACTCTGAAAGTTATGGCATTTTGATTTGTTCGTGAAATGAGAACATTCTCAAAATGAAATAAATAAATACAGGGTGTAAATCCTGCTTGTAAATGTTTTTAAGTCGACTAATTTAGAAACCTGGAGAGATCATTATTTGACTATTTTGTTTATAATGGCTTCATATTACAGAGACCAGTTCTGAGATTACACTTTACCATCTATTGATTACATGTTGTGTAAAGAAGGGCTTTTTTGTTTTGCTGATCTTGCAATTGCATTTTTTTGACTAAGATCCTTCTGATATGCAAGATTATTGAGCTCGTATGTTTTTACTTCAGCAGTTGTTCTTATTCTAATGTTCAGGGTATTGAACTCCTACCACCTCATTGACAGATGAACTGAAATATTCATTCATGTGGTCTGTGAACATTGCGCTGAAAGTCTGAAGTTAATGTTTAAGCGTTCCCAGTGAACTGCTGAGTCACTCCAGTGTTTCTAATGTCTGAAAATGGGCTTCCTCTATAAGCTTTCCTTCACTCTCTCCGCTGTGTCTCCAGTATCAGTCTTCTCTTATCTCGATGTACATGCACAGCTGCTCTTCTCATGTTAGGAGCACGACCCTGATAATGGGTTCTCTGGCAAATGGCTTCAGACCTGATTAACTTCCATTAGGTTTTTTTTTTTTTTTTTATCTCCTGTGTGCCTGGAGCTAAACATTAGTTTCAGAAGCAGCCCTGCAGAGCCAGATCTGAATAAGATTAGATGTGTATCTCAGAGAGCTGCCTGTGTGGTGGAGATGTGGACAGTGAGTGCTGAGATGCATGATCAGGCTTATGACAGTCTCAGATTTTATTTTTGTGATTTAATTGTTGAAGCTTTTATCTTAATATATGGGGTTATCATGATTAGTCTTAAGCTGCAAAATAGGGATAAATATAATAATCAATGTAAATAAATGTTTAGATATATAATAATTTAATTGCAAAAGAATATATGTAACACTTTACGATCCCTTTATTAGTAAACCGTATTTATTTCATTAAAACCAACAGTGAGTAATAATCACATTTCTTACTGTGTTGTTGTTAGTTTAAAAAATACAACTCATTTATTAGTTGTTATCTCCATTTAATAAAAAAATTTTCACTACTTTGAGTGAAGCATTAACTTAAATGAACGTCACCTAAGATTAATTAATGCTTTTGTAGTTTTCATTGCGAGTTTAGTTTAACTAATCTCAACAGATTAAATCTTACTGTATATAGTGTTGATGGCTTATACATATTTAGCACATTTTCTCAGGTCATAAGCAATGTTAATGTTTGAAAATAAACACGGTCTTCAATCATTTGTGGTTTTTGTGAATATTCTTAAAACTCAAAGTTAAAATAATAAATAATTGTTCATTGTATTTTGAAGCGTCTACAGCAGGGGTCACCAAACTTGTTCCTGGAGGGCCGGTGTCCAGCAGATTTTAGCTCCAACCCTAATCAAACACACCTGAAAAAGCTAATCAAGGTCTTACTAGGTATACTTGAAACATCCAGGCAGGTGTGTTGAGGCAATGTGTACTAAACCCTGCAGGGACACCGGCCCTCCAGGAGCAGGATTAGTGACCCCTGGTCTACAGTAACTATATCATGCATGTTCATTACTACAATATATTGTTTTTTTGTTCATTTATTTATTTTTATTATATAAATATCGGTACTGATATAAGTCTGCTATCATCTCTGATGTGTTTTAGAGGATGGGACAAACTACCAGGACTTGTTGCATGAGATGACCGGCCAGAAAACCGTTCCTAATGTCTTCATCAACAAGAAACACATCGGAGGCTGTGACAACACCATGAAGGTTTGGGGTTTTCTTTCTGATTTCTACATTTGTGATTCAGTAATACTTGTTTGTCTAGGGATTTCATAGTACAGGGGTTCTCAAACCTTTTTACTTCGGGGCCCAGATCTTTTTCCGATCAATTTTTGAGGGCCTATCTGTCTGACATTTTCACTAAAATGTTTGTTTAAAATGCTCATTTAAACCTTTATTTATTAACAAATATACATATATAAAAAAAAAAAATATATATATATATATATAT